GGCGGCGGCGGCGTCGCCGTCGCGCAGCCCGCCATGCTGCGCTCGCGCGCGCACCCCGGCCTCCTCGCGCAGGTACTGTGCGCGCGCGCCCCCGAATTCTGCTACCGGTAGTGCTTCCAGTACAGGATGCAAATGTAGAGGAAAGTACCCAAACCCGGCCCCTCATTTTGTTTTCGAATGTTTTGAAATACCACTTTCCGCGCAGTTAAATCAAAAGTATTTGAAATGGATATTTTACTTAGTTATGCAAATGTTATATTCTATCAAAATTATTGCCCAAGTAGTTTACGAATAATTTTTTTTCGTGAACATTCCACTATGAATTTACAAAAATTGTATCTCAATGTGACCCCCCTCCCTGCAATTTGTTTTTAAAATAAGTAAAACTAAATGCAAAATATTAAACTCGGTATACATGTACAAAAATGCACGTTTAACTTCTTATACGTAAGAAAATATCTCGTGTCTTGCACGTAGTCTACATATTTAAGTGCGACAAAAACCACATATGTAAGCTGCTTTTTTCTGTTCCCGCACATTCTACATGAACCCAGAGTGAACATGTTAGGGTCATCATCCAGTTCCTCCAGCTCTGAAAATTTACACCGCAAAATATTCACTCTTCTTCTTCTGAAACCGTGAGGGAAGATATCCTTGGTAGAGAATTCGGAATAACCGGAGGACATGTTCGATTTCACGTGGAAGGTGGATCTTTTTTTTCTTTTTCTAACTCGAGAATTTTCTTAAATCTCTCTCTTTTCGACCTCTCTGGGATTTAATTCTGAAATTGTCTCTTTACCTGTTTCTTCTTCCTGCCTTCTTGAACTGATAGGTTTCTTCTTGATTTTTGTTAGACTCCTAAGGTATAAGGACTGCCAATTTCCGTAATATTTTTATTTTATGACACGAAAATTTGGGAGCCCGTGTTAGGAACCTTTGGGGGACTCTGGTTAGGCCGCAGCGTGTATATATTTCGAATTCCAATAACATTTTTCAAGGCAAGTAAAATAAATTCCAATACCCTACACTAATAGCTTATAATGGCTCCTTCAATAGTAGTTAATGCAAGTAGTTTATAAAGTTAGGCTTTATTGCACGAGTCCATGTTTTGAAAACGAGCGACTTTAGGAGCGAGTTTTCAAATTTGTACGAATGTAATAAAGCAACATTATAAACAAGTTGCGTACTATATTTTTTGTACAACAGCATTATACATTTATAAAATAATCAAACTTCATTTTGCGAAACAACTTCCCTGTGACGACTCGGGTATTTGACATCGTGCGAGTAAACGGTGGTTGACTGTTCCGTTTAGCTCTACCTCTCACCCCCCGATTCTCTCGTTACGATTGGCTGAATGTGTGAAGACGCAATCATTCGTGACATAATATCTAATACGTCATCATTTGTGCCTTAAAATTCCCGATTATGAACGATTTCTAGCATCAGAAAAGGTTCTATAATGCTTGAATCGAAAAAAATAATATAAAGGTTAAAATACTTACCGATGAAGTAGCGAAATCAGGGAACTGAGAATAAGCACTAGGAAAAACTACTTTTCTCTGTTCACACTGAATGAAGCCCGACTGTCCGGCAACAATGAAAGATGAAGCCACTACCGCTTGCCTGGGCTGCAGTCTTGCACAGAGCTGCTGAGTACGTTTCCAATAGGCAACAGCACTATACTCAGTTGTAAATGAAAGGACTCGCATTAGGAACCGGTCTCGGGTTTAGGACTTTCCTTTACCGAGTTCGCAGGGAAGCAAACTCCTCTGGAGGAGTGTAGTGAGCGATGTACAAGTACCAAGACCAGGTTCAATGAAGTACGAAAATCAGTTTAATAAAACGTGCTGCGGAGCAGCGTGAAGTAAATGCAACCGTGTGTCTTGGTCTCCCCCCCCCCCTCATCAGGGCAGGAGGACAGCTTATAGAGAGAACGGGGAAATTTTTCAGGCTATCCCCCCCCCCCCGACTCAACCCTACACGCCTCGAATGTAATAAACACTCATTACTGTCAACTTTGTTTACTCCTCTGAGATTTACTCCCTTGTGAGTTTCGGATACTGACCCGCTTCTGTAAACGTCTCCTCGTTAGCGTTGACAAGGATTCTAGAGGCCTCTCGTGAATACACTTAAAATGTAGATACTACGCATAGCTCCCGCTTCGGACGTAACCACAAAATCGGCTCGAAAATTCTAAATTGTCAAAAAACTATTTCTTGTGTGCACGTGATATTTTTAAGAAAGTAACCATTCCCTCCCTTTCACAATGCTTTGTACTGGCTTTTAACCGGTATTCTTATGTATACCAACTCTCTCAGAAAGCCCAACCCCGCCCCCATCTCTCTCAGAAAAGGCTTTTCAATTCTCATATAGGAAGTCTGAGAATAAAGGTTTACAAGCTTGTTGAGAATGTAGAAGGGTCGAAAATGTAAGTGAATTTGAGGTTACTGTTCGATTTAATTGTAGTGACTTCTGGCGTTTGATCAGCTAGACGCAGTTATCCAAACAGGACCTTTCGTTACCAATTTATTTTGTATATTGAAGCTCTCGAATGGATAATCGTGACGCAAGACGCTAGAAGTCACTATAATATAATTGGAGAATATTGGTTTAACATTTTGTGCCCTATTTAATTGAATTAATATGGGTTATTAGTGTCTTCATACACAGTAAGTAAATTGCTGCAAAGTCGGCGGAAAACATTGTGTTAAAAAAAGTTTAGTGTTAAAAATGGCAGACCAACATTGAAAAACTTTCGAATAAGAAATATTTAGCTTAGCTCATAACGTAATATTATTTCTGGATGCATAATTTGAACCACTTATTCTCCCCAAATTAAGTTTAAAATTGATTATTTTGGCCAACTTCTTTCGGCGACTTCTTTCGTGAGGGATGAAGGTTCCTATCCTATCTGGTAAGTAATACTTTTCCTAAGCAAAGGTCTATGTTTTCTTCGACAATGCGGGTCTGGAGTTCGGGCTTAGTTCGAACTCGCGCCAGTCTCAAGAGAAAATGTCTACAAGCGCCGCTACGCGCGCTCGTGTCGTAGGATCTACCGACAACGGCGCTGTACGTGGCGCCGCGCGGCGGCGAGGAGGAGAAGCTGCTGCTGCCGCAGGTGCTGGCCGCGGCGGGCAGATGCGACGAGTCGCAGCGGTGACGCGAATACGACGTTGCACCGCCCTCGCGCATCTGCAGGCAGCTGTCGCCGCTGCTTGGAATGTGACGCAGCTGGACGGACGTTGGCTGCTGTCGTCGAAACTAGTCGCGCTGCTGCGCGTTGGGGAAGGTTTCACGCGCAGTCGGCGCTGAGGTCGCTCGGGGGTTTGCTCTCGGTGCCAAAAAAAAAAAAAAAAAAAAGCGAGCGGGGGGTGGCGGGGACAGTTGAACGACTACCACCTTTCGGGAGAGCAACGTCTTTCGAGGGAGTATCACATTTCGAGAGGAGAGAACCGCCTGTGGATGGGCACCACTTTTGAAGCGCAACCTACCAAATGTCACAGGGTTTGGGGCACAACCTACTTGGGGCTCGCCTCCTTTTCCGGGGGTTCCCTCAGGACACCAGACCTGGTCCCATTTGGCCTTACACCCCCATTGGCTCGGAGAGCAGGTACTGATGTGTCTTGTATTTAAAATGCGCTGCCTTAAGGAGCACCATGGAATATTAATATTATACAAAGACTGTTTTGTGTGTCCACCAGGGTGTATCAACATTGCATAGAAAAGGAGCACATGTTGGAATAACGAATCTTAAAATAACATCATCTTGTTCTTTAGTCACTTAGAAAGAAAGTGTAATTTTACATGCACTTGTCAGAGATGAAGTTAAAAAGGAAACACATTCTTCATGAAGTAAATGTGAATTTAACATATTTTCT